GGGGACGGGCTTGGCCCACGTGCGGTCACCGCGCCCGGCCGTTTGGCCGGCCCGGAAGGCAGAGGGAAATGGAGGAGAGGCCGCGGGGATGAGGAAGGCCCGGGGTAACAGGTGCCTCACCTCGGCTGATGGGATTAACTCTAGGGCGGCAGAGAGAGGGAGCCCAGCAGCAAAATCCCGGGAGAGGGAGAGAGAGGGAGCCTCTGGCGGCCAACGAAGGGCGAAAAGCACCGGCCCGAGGCGAGGCCGCCCCACCCCCTCGGCCGTGGGCGAGGGGCCTTCAGGGCCTGGGGCGACGCCCGTCCAGGCTCGGGCCGGCTGCCGGTTTTTTTTTCAGCAACTGAGTTCTTGGGCTGCCGGTTGCCGGGCCCCACGCAGTGTGCAGTTAACTCTGTGACCCCAAGGCATCGGAAACCGGGCCACTCTGCTGGTCCGGAAAGCCAAGCCCTAGACCCCAAGTCTGTGCGTGCAGGGTTCACCACTCACCTTGACCTTAAGGTCCCACTGCTAAAAGGGAAAGGGATGAGAAGCGCGTCTGACTTCTGGTCTTGGGAGAGTTCTTCAGTGCTGACGAATGTTCAGCACTCCCACACCCCACGAAAAATACCAGATGTGTCGCGGCCTTACTGTAAAATAGAAAACTTATAACTATCAATATAGACCTTTTCATTAATCCTCCCCAAAAGCCTAGGGAGTAGAAACTTAAGAATTTTTTAAGAAGGTCAAAACATAACTCTCATAGAAACATAAAATGAACGTGGGTAAAAAAAATTTATTCCACTCTAATTAGGGAGGGAACCAACAAGATACTGCAATCTTTTTCCAAAGAAAATGTGAAGAACAGACGTGTAGGAGGGTAGGCAATGGGAAAAGAGGGAAAACTGCAGTATTCCACAGGGTACGGAAATGTAATGTTCAGAATTAGCTGTTTTACCTGGTGGTAACCAACTGCACCTATGTAACAAATTTACATTTCTACACATAAGAGTCATTTATATGACCATAAATAGATATAGTTTACTGCATACTAAAATAGCTTAGTGAAAGTGTAAGCTATTACAGAATCACAAAATCCAGAGTCCTGTGGTCCTGTGCCCATTTAAGGTCTTCTCCAAGTTTTCCCAACAGATCTATCATCATTCTCATTTTACAGATGGGAAAAATAAGATAATATGCTTCGTAATTTTCCCATAGCTTTATTAGTTAGTCAATGGTTATGACTGGATAGGAACCTAGGCAAGTCTGTGCACAGGATCTATAAACTCTGGGAGCAAAAGCTCTCTTAATTTCAAAAGGACTTTGTAGCTGCTCAGTTCTATGTAGCTTTTATTTTAAACAGTGAGGGGTTTTTTTGTTGTTTCTTTTTTTTTATCATTATTCAAGCGTCACCAAAATCTGGGTGCTTTCTCAAGAAATTGGCATGCTCTGTCTACAAAGTAGATGTCACTTCTATAAGCATAAACAGATGTAACAGCCAGTGTGAGGGGGATGTGGCTCCAGTCTCCACTTTTGGAAAGAACATTTGTGCTGTCTGGGATAATCTAGTGGAAAAGTTCTTGTCATTTATTTGCAGTATGGAAACCAGGTTTTTTAGAAGAATAACCTAAATAAATGCAAAATCTAATCACTGAGTTCTGTCTGCAGGAGAGGGGGCAGAGCTGGCAATAAAACCAGTCTTACACCTCTTTGCAAAAAAGATGATTCATACAGAAAAGAAGCCTGAAGAATTTGGTTAGTTAGGTTTTATTTGTTGAAAATGTGAAGCTTCTGGAAAAACTCATGCTGAAGGAATGACAAGTTTTTCTAACATAATACTGATAAATTAAGATTCTTGGATTGCCCATAAGGGACCTTCTACCTTTTTTTTCCCTTTAAGGTTTTTGCCATAAGGTGCATGCACTCACCAGCGAAAGACAGAAAGAGACAGTGAGAGGGAAAGTGAGAAAATAACCCCCATCACGGAGTGGGGGGATAGCACACCACAATCTCTTCTTCTCCATTCTCCCCCTGGGATCTTGGGCAAGCACACATATGCGCCCAGCGTGATTTTCAAGCCACTGGGTCCAAGACTCAAACCGTGGTTGGCCACATGGGAATCCAGCACCATTAACCATCATTCCACCTGCTGGCCCGGACATTCTACTTCAAATAGTTGAAATGTTTGAAGTGTCTACTAGACCTGTGCTTATCCAATACATGTGACTATTCTCCTTTAATTAAAATAAAATACAATTAAAAATTCAGTTCCTTAGTCACACTAGTCATATTTGAGGAACTCAATAGCTACTTGTGGCTCTTGGCTACCCTGCTGGATGGTATAGAAATAGACTATTTCCATCATGAAAATGTCTATTGGACAGTGCTGTTCTAAGACAACCTTTACATTTGTATAAAATAGGATAGGTATATTGACTTCACAAGGGTTAACTCCATTCAACAGCCTATGATTGTTTTAGAGATTAGAGGTCATGAATTTATTTATTTATTTTTTGGAGAGGTTTTTCGCTATAGGGCACATGTGCTCGCCAGACAGACAGAGAGAAACATAGAGACAAAAAGCGAGAAATCACCCCCCAGGGGGGATGGTCACGCCACAATCCCTTCTCCTCCATTCTCCTCTCGGGATCTTCGGCATGCACGCACACACACCCGGTGTGAGTTTTAAGCCACCGGGTCCAGGACGCGAACCACGGTCGACTACGTGGGAGTCCAGCAACATAGCCATTACACTAACTGCTGGTTCCCTAGAGGTCATGAATTTTACCTTCCAGTTGGAAATGGGGAAAGGGTGGTGTTCAGGAGTGAATGGTAAACTTCAGTATTGACACACAAAGTATCCAGAATGAATTTAGGGTGGGAGTTTCCATTTTCATATATGGATTTTCAACCTTTCATAAATCATGTAGAATATTATTTTCATTCCTTTGGAAACAAGAATATTATGATTAGTAAGAATAGACCACAAGATTAGTGGATAAACAAAAAGTACAAAATATATTCTGCATTGTTTTAGGGTTTTTCTTGATATATTTTTTA